CTCCGCCGAGGCCACGTGTGAGGGGTCCCGTTTCTCCGCGTCCCCGCCAGCCCTTATGCTGCCACTCTCGCAGGTGCGTCGTGACGAGAGGGCCTCCGCTGGTTTTCCAGCCGCGGTGTCGTTTTCTTCCCGGTACCGGCCCCGGCCGGATGTGAGCTGTGTGAGTATTTTCCCCGGAACGTACTTCTCGTTTTCTTTACAGGGTCTTTCACGGAGCAAGAGCGTTGCCTCCCGCCCAGGTCCGATGTGCCCGATTTCGTCTACGGAAGGTGCTTTCCGCGTCCGCTCCGCCTACACGTGGCCCAGCCCTAGGTCTGGACGCTTTCCATCTTCTTCCTAAAGGATTTGCAGTTTTCCGGCTTCCGTTGACCTCTGCGGTCCGTCCTGAGTTGATCTGGTATCAGCTGTGAGGTTCTGGCCGGGGCTCGTTTTTATCCGCGGTTCATCGGCCGGGGACCGTCCTCCCCTCCGCGGGGATGTTTCTCCGCCTGTGGCACAATCAGCTGTGCATTTCCGTGCGGGTCTGTTTCCGGGTCCTCCATCAGCCCTTGTTGTTAATTCTTACGTGTGGAACTTGGCCCCCGCCCCAGATGGAGCTATTTCCACCCGCAGCTCGGCCCGTGCACGAGGACGGCCGGGTGTGACTTGTGCGTGTCAGTGTGTAAATGTGTCTGCGTGAGACGTGTGAGTGCTATACCGTGCATGTGTGCACGTGCAGGAGCGTGTCCACCGCGACCCGAGCTCCCACGCTTCCCCCGCGGCCTCTTCCGGACGGGGGTGTGCACAGAGAGGCCTCTCTTACAGGAACACCTTCTGGTCACCCCCCTCACCTCCAGCCACCCTAGCCCTCGGGGTTGGGACACTGGTGCAGTGGGGCTCACAGGCTCGTCCTGTCCCGAGAATCCACCGATGTGACAAAGCTGTGAGACTGAAGGCTCTAGGGGGCAGCAGATGGCCATTTTTCCCGGACGGCTGTGCTGGGACTTAGGCAGCAGGTGGGTCCCCCTCTGAGGGTCCTGGGACCCCACCTGGGGAGGGGACACCATCCTCCTGCCACGCCAAGATGCTGCCGTGACAGATGCCCCTCCCCACCCCGGGGCCACCCCCGGGGCCCCAAGTGTGAATCTCAGGGCCAGGCCCAAACAGGCGGGACACGGGGTCCCCAGGCCCGGCCCAGGTCTGGGGGCCACAGACCAGATGCTGTCCATGCAGAGCCCCCTGGCCCGGGACCCAGTGCCAGCTCTGTCACTTGTCACTGTGTGGCTTCGGGCGAGTCACCGCACCTCTCTGAGCCAGGGTTCCCCGATCTACCAATCAGGTGACTGTGCACCCGTGAGCCTGGGCACATGGGCACTCACACATACAGCTCTGTGTCCTCTGGCCTCAGTTCCCCTGTTTGTATGAGACCAGAGTTACTGGTTTCCAACACCGAGGACCTCTGTCATCCTCACGGACCCCACCCTGGCACCGTATTGTGGAGGGCGTGTGTTAATAAAGCGCGAACTGGGGCGCCTGGGTGGCGCAGTCGGTTAGGCGTCCGACTTCAGCTCAGGTCACGATCTCGCGGTCTGTGAGTTCGAGCCCCGCGTCAGGCTCTGGGCTGATGGCTCGGAGCCTGGAGCCTGTTTCCGATTCTGTGTCTCCCTCTCTCTCTGCCCCTCCCCCGTTCATGCTCTGTCTCTCTCTGTCCCAAAAATAAATAAACGTTGAAAAAAAAATTAAAAAAAAATAAATAAATACAGCACGAACAGTTATAAAGCTGAACTTGCTTCATCTGTTCACCAGAGATCCCAACGCCCAACGGAGTGGTGTGGGCAGGCGGCTTGGGCTCCTGGGGTGGCCTCCCTCCAGGGGGAACAGCCTTGTCCTCTGTGCTTTCCTGTTGTTCGGAATGTCCTGCATGTTGGTAAGTCTTTGTGATTTCTGGTTTTGAATGTTCTACAGTGAGTTTGTTACCTGTCTAATCACAAGAATTAAGCATGCTATATATTCTTTTTAAAAGGCCAGAAGAAAATACAAAACTTAACAGTTGTTACCTTGGGGGAAACAGGAGTTTTGGTGATATTTATATTCTTGACATTTTAGGTGTTTTTCAAATGTTCCACAATGAGCATAAATTCTTTTTAAAATCAGAATACAGGGGCGCCTGGGTGGTTCAGTCAGTTAAGCGTCTGACTTCAGCTCTGATCATGATCTCCTAGTTTGTGGGTTCGAGTCCCGTGTCGGGCTCTGTGCTGGCAGCTCAGAGCCTGGAGCCTGCTTGAGATTCTGTGTCTCCCTCTCTCAGCCCCTCCCTGCTGCCGCCCTGTCTCTCTCTCTCAAAAGTAAATAAAAATTAACAAAATGGAAAAAAAATCAGAGGAATGCATAACACTTGTACTAAAGAAAAAAAAAAGAAAGTAGGAGACTGGGAGGGAATTTACATATGTGTATGTATTATATAAATTTAAATCTATATCCGTCTATCATCCGTCATCTACCTATAGGCTTAATCTTTGGTTCCGGGATTATAAATAATAATTTTGTTTAACTTCCCGCGTTTCTTAAGATTTCAGATGAACTAAATCAATATTCTTAGAGGTTTCAAAACTTGCTGTCCAGGGGCGCCTGGGTGGCTCAGCAAGGTTACACATCTGACTCTGGGATTTGGCTCAGGCGATGATCTGGCCGTTTGTGGGTTCGAGCCCTGCGTCGGGCTCTGTGCTGGCAGCGGGGAACCTGCTTGGGACTCTCTCCCTCTCTCTCTGCCCCTCCCCTGCTTACTCTCTCTCAAAATAAACTTAAAAAA